ACGTGATCGACAGGCATGAGTGAGACCGATCAGCGTTACCATGTCGGCTGTGTGGAGTTATTTTAAACTCAGCGAAGAGGACAAAAGCAAAGCTGAATGCAGTTTATGCAACGTGAGGATTTCGAGGGGTGGCAGCAGCGCTGGAAACTTTAACACCACCAACTTGATTAAACACTTGCAAAAACATGGAAAGCAGTATGCTGAATTTATACGCGCAACTAATGCCAAGAAGCGTGTTCCGCAGCAACAAACATTGCAGGAAACAATTCAGAAGCGTGAGAAACTCACCCCAGACAGCAACAGAGCTAAACAGATAACAGAGAAAGTTACAGAATTCATTGTGCTTGATGACCAGCCGCTTTCTGTTGTTGAAAATGCAGGTTTTCGTCGCTTAATAGAGTATTTGGAGCCTCGCTACGTGTTGCCAAGTCGGCATTTCATCTCCGACACCACTATCCCAAATAAGTACAAGCAAGTGAGTGAATTCATTATGAAGTCTTTGGAAAACATTTCCATGATTAGTTTCACAACTGACATGTGGAGCTCACACGTGTCCTATGTCATTACTAAGCATTATTAAGCAGCAGTGTTGCACAACTCATGGTTGTGGGCGATGTATTTCTTCCTTCAGGGGAGTAGAATATTTGACAAATGTGTTACTAAGCAATTGTTTAACAATTGTTTAACAGAGGGGAAAAATATCATGTTGGATCGGTATCGGCAGATACTCAAAATTGGGGTATCGGTATCGGTATCGGACATGGAAAAGTGGTATCGTGCCACCCCTAATAGTAACTCCCCCACCTTACCAAACACACAGCAACACCAGAATATTTCAGTTATGTCTCTTTCATTTCCATGTGGTGTCAGAGTCTTTCATTTAAATACAACAACAAGTCTGAGTTCTCATGGAATATCTCCCTAAAGTGTATTATAATACCAGAATGCATCCTAACACACAGTATAGATACCGGCTTTCATCAAACTCGATTTGACAGTTCTAGGTGAAAGGTTATCCAATCAGAAGCTTTTTCCCGCGACCCGCTGACCAAAGTGATGAGGCAGAGCAAGAGCTCCATGGCTGGCGGCAGCAGCAGGACCCCGCAGGCGAGAGCTGATTCCAGGATCTTTAAAGCCGTGTGGGAGACGCACGGCAGCAGTTCGGGGAGATGGTACTACAAAGTTGTGGCCCAGGGGCTAGGGGATAAAAATGGGGTAATGGGTATGTACAGGTTCAACACAGAATGTGGTGTTTTTCAGGAGACTATGAACCTTCGTTGTATAACTTGGATGGAGATTTTTAACAGGTGGGGGGACGAGATTACCACGTTATTCCG